AAATATCGATGTCTACTCACCAAATCGATCTTACCCCCATCAAATAATCTAACCCGGCTATATCGTAAAGACTGCCTACGTATCCTCTTGCCCAAGAAATCAAGCCAAACGTAGTTCACCCAAATGGCCGCGAACGACCTCAATCCAATAGAAGAGTTTGTAACCCTTCTCTAATATCATCAATTCTGTGGCTGATAGCACCTCCAATGGCCTCAAACACCTCCACCTGAGGTGAACCAACGGCCATATCCAAACTATGTCTGCCAGCTGCACTCGAATCAAAATGTAATTCATCATCTGCACCTAAATCCAAATGATCCCTAAGCTGTGTCACATCAGCTGGAATCCTAACCAATACAGAATGACCTGGAGTATGTGGGAAAATCCCCACCCAATGTGGAGTAGCATCACTCTCCACCCGTTGCAATGTCCTAATGATCTGAGCACCACTCTCCACCTACCGAGAGTCAAATGTGACATACCTGCCCAGAACAAAGTCAGAAGCCAATACCTGATAATCAAACACGCCTTTGAATCCCAAATATGCTATCGGATCAAATCTCACATCCACGATGTGACCAAGTGCTGGGTAGCCAAACATCTGACGCAACCCAAAATCTGAAGCAGCTCCACCAGATCTCATATCTCTACATGCAACAGTCGGCAACCTATACATAAGACGGCTCAAACATATCGTAGCCTGCACACCAATGCCAATGCTTGACATCAAACGCCGATCCTCCTCCAGAAAGGAACAGCTGCCCAAATCTGCCATCTCGCCTCGTCTCCTTAAAGTTTCCACACCAATGAAGTGTCTCCTATTGCCATGAGCTCGACACAAATGCAAGAAAGAATCCCTACCATAATCAGATCGTCGGGTTACCTTTCTACCAACACACTTCCTCCATCTGTTGCGGGCTTCTAGGACTTCACACCAACGGGACTTGGTTACAACCCACCAATGCCTAGAGCAATCCCCAACTGTGAAAACCACATACCTATTACCTCCCAATAATGCTCCCTTGGAAGGCTCCCGAATGCCTGAATGAACACCCCTTAGAAAACCCCTCGAATGATGGATAGAAGTGTTAAACTCCACCTTGGTCTTCTTGCTCATACCAATAGGTTCACAGGACTTCAAACTGCAGGTCAAAGCACTCCTCAATAACCTATGCACGATATTACCAATCAAATAACCCAGTATCAAACAATGCCATAGTCTAGCCGAATCTGATGAAGTCGTCATCTCCCTATCAATTGCCGTGCTTCCAAGCAAATAATACAAATTGCTTCTTCTGACGTCCTTTAACAATCATGGACCCTAATGTGACCTTCAAACGTGCATCCACCAAGGTCACTTTATAGCCAGATGCCAATCATGGACCCTAATGTGACCTTCAAACGTGCATCCACCAAGGTCACTTTATAGCCAGATGCCACCAAAGCTCCTAGTGAAATGATGTTCTTCGACAACTGCGGAACGAACCTCACTTCTTCCAACTCCTGAATCACTCCGTCATATATCCGAATACGAACGGCACCAATACCACAAATAGAGCATGCATGTCTATTACCCATGAGCACAACATCCTCTCTTTCCAATTCTGAAAGCTGAAGAACCAATCCCTCCTAGGGCAAACATGGTATGAAGCACCCGAATCCATCATCCACTCTGTAGAGTTGGCAACACAAACTGACGGTAGTGCAAACAACGAATAGCCCGAAGAATCTGAATCTGAATTGTTGCCACTAGTCTTGACAACATTCACCTCTGAAGCTTGTACAGTTTTCTCCTTATTCTTCTCGGCTCGATCTAACTTTGGGCATTCAACTTTTCAATGTCCACCCTCTTTATAAAAGGCACACTGATTCCTACGAATCCCATGATGTGCACCTCTAGACCGCAACCTTCTGCTTCGGTTTGAACCACGGCCTTGAACTACTAATGCATCTCCCGATGCCTTCTCGAAAGACTCATCCACACTCTTCCTCAACTCATAATTTACTAACGCTGAGGTCACCTCCTTGTAACTAATAATAGCTCTTCCATTAATCATAGTTAGGACAAAAGTACCATAATCATCCTCGGGTAATGAACACAAAAGTAGCATCGCCTTGTCTTCATCCTCAACTATGATATCCACATTTGCCATGTCTGAAAGTAGCTTTGTGAAGTTGTTAACAAGCTCCCTAATGGAAACTCCCCTCTTCATCTTGAACTGGTAAAACTTCTTCTTCAAGTGAAGCCGATTCTTAATGCTCTTAGTAAGATACTTTTCATTGAGTATTTCCTACATCTTCTTCGCCGACGTCTTGTTCATCACATCATAAATAAGATCCGGCGTCAAGCATGACCGAATAACTCCACACGCCCTACTATTCATCTTCTTCCAAACCTTAGCCTTCATCTCGGCAGGTTTCTCTTGTAACTTAAGAGTCTTCTCTAAATTCTGAGCATCCAAGGCGTCCATCACCTGACACCTCCATAATCCGAAGTTAATCTTGCCGTCAAACTTCGGAACATCAATCTTCATGTTATTGATGCTCAAACTATGTATCGTCTTCGTAAGAGACGATTTTGATGTGCTTGTTTCACCAATGTTGTCGATCTAATCTTCAAATAGGAATCCTCAGCGAATCCTTCAAACAAGCTCCTAAGTCCAAACCCGGAGCTCTGATACTACTTGTTGTGCACAGCGAAAATTTCGGCAGCACCTCCGGTGCGTAAGGTGCACAACAAGAGATTAGATCGTAAGAATTCCTGTCTCACTAAGGAAACAAGAATCTGAAGCGAATATCTCAACAAAGTAAGATATCGGCTCTTCTTCTCATCAGTTCTAGGACTGACTTGTCGAGGGATCCTACAAACTATTATAAATCACAGCAAGAACACAACTTTTACGTGGTTCGGCAAATAGCCTACGTCCACGGGGCAAGGAGGGGGAGATCTACTATTAGATGGAGAGATACAACTAGGGTTTACAATCTCACAAATAAAACCCTCACACAAACTCTCAGATCCCTTACAAAATCTCTCTCAAAGACACAAAAGGACTGCATACAAGAACTCTCCTCAGCCGAAAAAGCTTCCTTGCACTTTCTCTCTGCACTGCTCTTGCACGTCCAAGCATAGCCGTCTTTTGTTTTTATTTTCCCTTCAATTCCTGCACACGCCCAAGCCTTGCTCCTGCGATTTTTTCTCCAAAGCCTGCGCTGCCAATTTGCCTCCCTGCTACCCAAAACCCTAGGAATAACGAGTATTTTATAGGAGTTTGTGATCGGGTGGGCCTTTTTCCGCACCTGGCTTTTTTTCGCATTTAATCTCTTCATTAATCTCTTCATGCGCGTAGCTTTGCACTTCACGCCCCCACGTGCCAAAAAAACACAACAAAACCGGGTTTGGCTTTGCTCTCACGTGGGTGGGCCCCATGGCAAATGCATCTGCTAGATTCGTGGCCAATTTGTGGCCTCACACTCACATGATCTATATCTACACTAAAGGGCTATTTGTTTCACCAATTTATAGAAAAGGATTAGGAATTGGGGACTGATAGTGGCAAAATTGTAATTTTTGAATTCTTTGTGAATCCTATTCTAGAGTTTGGCTCAGAAATTTTTTTGGGATTACCAATTCCTAGAAGTAGCAACAATATGGGTTTTTTTTATAGAAACTCAAATCGGAGAAGTTTCGGCGGATTTGGGCGAGATTTCTGACATATTGGCTTCAATGTCGATTCCGATTCCTAGAGGTCACGAAATCAAGCCCTAGATCTGGAATCGCCGTTCTCCCGCCCTTCGTCTTCGCGCCTCTTCTCCCGCCCTTCGTCTTCTTCTACTTGGGGTCGGGCCTGTTTGTCGAAACCCTAGATTCTCCCGAGGCTGGTTTCTTGGCCGATTTTGTGTGAAATCGGCTTCTCCCTATCTGATCCCGCCTCATTTTCCGCCATGATTTATTTAATTTGATTTCCACGATCTTGTTGGTGGGTTTCTGGCCTTTGATTCTTGGTGTTACCTACTCGAACTTATTCTGGTTCGGAGCATTTTGTTGGCTACGGTGGGTTCTCTATCTTCGGTAACTTTGCTGCTTGGACGTCGGCATTTCCCTCCCTCTGCAGCTAGGTATAAAATTTTGCACTCTATTTTTTAGACTTATTTCTTCGTGCTTAATGTGATGAATGGTATCTGTAGAATGATAATTTTCTTGATAATTCGTTACATGTATAATTACCAGAAAATAGGATACATGTTTACTAAATTTCAGTTAATTGTGTGAAATAGAATGCATGATATTTGTGTGAATGAGTTGTTTTTAATATATGTGTTTACCAAAGAATGTGAATGCATGACATGAAGTATAGGGTTAAGTTCATTACATGAAAATCCACCGGGTAATAAAATGTGTTGTTCTTGATAATTGTGTGAGATAGAATGCAACTTCAGTTAAAATAATTTTCATTTCAATTAGATTTCTTGCTTTTTAAGAAATAAATATTTGTATCAATTATCTAATTAATTTTGACAAGAAATAAGTAGCCATCTTAAGCTATAACTGTATGATAATTTTAAAACGGATGTAGATGGATATGGAAGATGGGGAAGAATTGAAGAGGATGTGTGCTAATACAGCTGTCTGCGCCGTGGTCACTTTGGTAACATGTATCTTGAGAATGCGTGCTAAGCGCAAGAGAATATCAACTTGTACGACGCAAGAAAAGATTAGAAAAATATATTGTAGAGAGGCTCACTTCAGACGTGTACTGGAGGGCTATCAAGATAGCTGCCAATCTTATATTAGAATGAGACCGATGGCTTTTTTAAAACTTGTTGAAGTAATGAAAACAAACGGTTTATTAAAAGATACAAGACACGTTCAAGTTGAAGAACAGCTTGCTATGTTCCTAAGTATTGTTGGGCACAAAACTAAAAATAGAATAATAAGAACTGAGTTTATAAGATCAGGGGAAACAATTAGCAGGTATTTCAATAAAGTTCTGCAAGCAATGAATGAACTACGTGATCGGTACATGAAGCAAGCCCTAAAAGAAGTTCCCGACGAGATTGCAAACAACTCAAATTATTTTCCTTACTTTAAGGTAAATTAAATACATACAGCTTAATAATTTTCCAAATAAACTTATTTTTATTCAACTATGTATAATTTATAATTTTTTATAGGACTGCATTGGTTTGATAGATGGCACACATGTCGACGCGGTGTTACCTAGTGACCTAGTTGCACGGTTTAAAGGGCGAAAAGGGATCACCCAAAACATCTTAGTAGTCTGCACCCCCAATAAACTATTTACTTATGTCTTGGCTGGCTGGGAGGGGGCAGCAAATGATTATAGGGTATTATAAGACGCCCTGTCCAGACCACAACCTTACGGGCTCCGAGTTTATGATGGTATTCATTCTCACTTGTGCACATTATGAATAATATATTAACTACTTGGCAATATTTTAGATTTTAAAATACTGTTTAATTAATGTAGGTAAATATTACCTATGTGACGCTCGATACACCACAATGCCAGGTTTCATATCCCCGTATCACGGTGTTCGATATTATTTAAAAGAGCACACCGGTAGGACACCAAAGAATAGGAAGGAGTTGTTCAATTTAAGGCATTCATCTTTAAGATCAAAAATTGAATGCACATTTGGGATACTGAAGAATCGGTTTAAAATTCTTGCGGCGAAGCCGAATTATCCATTTCCCACTCAAGTGGACATTGTACTAGCGTGTACTGTGTTGCACAACTTTATTGCCTTGGAGGATCCGGCTGATGATATTTTCAATGAAAATATTGAAATTGATGAAGATACTGGGGAAGAGACAAATGAAGACGATTCAAATGTGGTGGACTATACTCAAAGTAGGACACAAAGAGAGGATCGAGATGTTAGAAATGAATGGAAGGAGATGCGAGATCAAATTGCTTGGGCGATGTGGGTGGATTATTGTGCAAAGTACAATGGTGGTAACACAATGGAGAGCGGTTTAACTTAGTGTGGTATTTGTTCCATGGCTATGTAATAACTTAGTGAATTTTAAAATACTGTTCGCATCGATATTGTTTATTGTTTTTTTGCTTGTACCAAAACATTACTACTTTTATCGGTTGTTCTTTTTTTATGTTGTTTGAACCAGAAATATCATCGTTTCATATATTCCTTGATAAATGCATACATATCACATATTGTTTTATATTTCTTTATTGTTAATATGGCTATGCTTACAAAATATATTAGGTATGGCTAACAATTCGACAGATAAGCAAAGCGTGCCTTCTCATTCGAATGCAATGCCAAATCCTACATCAGGGATTAACATGAACTGCATGCCTGTTCGACCACATCCATTCACCTCACCTCCGCATACATTCTCACCATTCCCACCATGAGATGGTAATTATGGTGGGATGACACAGCCGCCAATGTCATACATGAGCTTGTTAGGCAGTCCATAAGGTTTGATGTTTCACACAGCCAGTTCTCAAAGTAGTGGACCTAATCAATTTTCACCGAACACTGGTGATTCAGGTGGAAAGGATATTCATGACGTTGATGGTGCGGAGCACACTTCGCCATTGAAAAGAGGGAAAATATTAGCCCATAAAAAAGGTTCCGTGTGCCAGGTTGAACTCAAGAGGCGTGGCTAATAAGTTTTGGCTTTCAGAGCACGATGATGTGCTTATTCCTTATCTTGCAGATTTAGCATTGGATGGCATGAAGCCAGACAAGCACTTCAAGGCTTAAGCTTATAAAATGGCTACCATGAAAATCAACATGCAATTCAGGACTGATTTCACTCACCTTCATGTCATTAACCACTTGAAATGTTTGAGGAACAAATTCAATGACATGAAAGCTTGTCTTGATATAAGTGGTGCTGGGTGGGATGAAACAAGTAAAATGATTACATTGGATGAGGAAACCTTGAAATCTTGGGCCCAGGTATAACAAATTTAGCATCTATATTGTCACCTTCAATTTAATACATTTGATTCACTACTTATAAGTATTTATTATTGCAGGACAAATCCAATTCTAAGTATAAAGCGTACATAAACAAACCCCTTCCTCACTTCAAAAGTTTACAAGTTATCATGGGTGATGATCAAGCCAAGGGTGATTTTGTTAGGCCCGTGTACGCTAACATTGGATCTAGTAGGTCCATACCTATTCCCGATGATGATTGCGAGATTCTAGAGGAGAGTGAAACTGAACCACAGTCTGATGCTTGCAACCAACCACGTTCTGGTGCTGTTAACCAACCACAACCCACTAGATATAAGACTAAGAGTAAAGACAACATGACTTCATCATCTAACAAAAAAACCAGAAAATCTAATCGTGAAGAGGAAATGCTATGTGCCTTTGTTGAGTCCATGTCTCAGTCAATGAGAAATCAACACGTTATACACTGGACTGAGCAGTTGGTTGCAGCGTTGAAGGAACATATGTCTGAATATTCTGAGGAGTTCCTCGATAGGGTTTTAGACCATTTATATAACAATGAACGTGAAGCTAGGAGGTTTTTCATAAAATCCAAGGAAGGTCAGCAGAGGTACATCACAAAATTAGTTAACGACCAAGGTTGGCCGGATAGCTAGTTTGTTGGGTTTCGATTATATTTTGATGGATATTGTTATGTTAATTGCAAACTATTAATGTTGCAATATATATTTTTATTATGAAGAACATCTATGTCGTTGTGGGATTGATGAATTGGTATATTTGCAATCTTTGTTGCAGGTAAGTATGGTCGTGGAATGATCAATGAGTTCTTTGAATTTTGCCTTTGCTTTTGATATCAGGTAAATGGGTTTGTTGCTTGGGTTTACTGATGTCGGCTTTTACATTATGTTGCTTGGGTTTATTACTCCATAGTCACACGTGGTTTATGTGGGTTTGTGGCTGTTATTGGGAGCTTGTGCAGCTCCTGCTGCTGCTGGGGTTTGTTGCTTGATTGTTTTGAGCTTTGTGCAGCTCATGCTGCTGCTGCTGGTTGGTTTTTATTGGGAGCTTGTGCAGCTCCTGCTACTGCTGGGGTTTGCCAACTGTTTTCTTTTGAGCTTGTGTAGCTCCTTGCTTTGTTTTGAGCTTGTGTAGCTCCTTGCTTTCTAGGGTTTGTGGCTGTTATTGGGAGCTTATGCAGCTCCTGCTGCTGCTGGGGTTTGAGGACTGCATTGGTTTGAGCTTGTGTAGCTCCTTGCATTCTTGGGTTTATGCCTGTTATTGGGAGCTTATGCAGCTCCTGTTGCTGCTGGGGTTTGCCAACTGATTTGTTTTGAGCTTGTGTAGCTCCTTGCTTTTTTGGGTTTGTGCCTGTTATTGGGAGCTTGTGCAGCTCACGCATTGCTGGGGTTTGCCAACTGTTTTCTTTTGAGCTTGTCCTATTCCTTGCTTTGTTTTGAGCTTGCGTAGCTCCAATCTTTGTTGGGTTTGTGCCTGTTATTTGGAGCTTGTGCAGCTCCTGTTGCTGCTGAGGTTTGCCAACTGCTTTGTTTTGAGCTTGTATTCGATCATTGCTTTGTTGGGTTTATGCCTGTTATTTAACAATTTGTGCAGCTCCTGCTGCTGCTGGGGTTTGTTGCTGAACTGTTTTGAGCTTGTGTAGCTCATGCTGCTGCTGGGGTTTGTTGCTTGTATGTTTTGAGCTTGTGTAGCTCCTTGTTATTACAGGTTAAGCTGTTATTCCTCACTTGTGCAGCTCCTGCTGCTGCTGGGATTTGTTGCTGTTTTATTTTGAGCTTGTGTAGCTCCAATACAGTATGGGTTTGTGCCTGATAATTAGAGCTTGTGTAGCTCCTGCTGCAGCTGGGGTTTGGTGTTGTTTTGTTTGAGCTTGTGTATTTTTCAGGCTGCTGCTGGGGTTGTGCCTTTTGATTTTAGCTTGTGCAGCATTTGCTGCAGTTGGGTTTTGGTGCTGTTTTGTTTGAGCTTGTAACATAGATGCTCTTTGGGGTTGTGCCTGTTATTGGGAGCTTGTGCAGCTCCTGCTGTTGCTGGGGTTTGTTGCTTGTTTACTCCCTATCTGCTGGGTTTGCTGCTATTTTGTTAAGAGCTTGTGTAGCTCGTGGTTGCATTTTGTGTTGTTGTTTTGGTTTTCCTTGCCTGTGGGTTACTTGCTGTTTTGGTTTGCCTTGCCTGTGGTTTTCCTTACACTTGATATGTGGCAATGATGATGATCAGCGTTTACTGAGAATGCAATCTAACTTACATCGTTTATTATATCCAGATGAGGCAAAAGGGGATGAGATTGCAGCCTACATTGAATTGACAATGTCTAGGCGAGACAATTCATCCTTATAATGTAATCTGTAATAAACATGTAAGTTATAGGTGGGGCAATCAATGATGACAAGTTGATCTATTACTGAGCCATACAATATCAATTAGAATTTGTACCCAATTCAAACAACAGTTTTCATTACATCCTCAGTAGTTTTTGCAAGTACAGGTACATGACATGAAGTTTGTAATAATTAAAATAACACAAAAAATTACTAAGAAAATTGCAGAAATTTTCCAAACTAGTAGTTGATTTTCGACAAGTCTTAATTCTTTCTTCAGCTTCTTTGATTGCAAAATATATTTTTCTCCGTACGTATTTTCTTTGACAGATTGGCTTCCTTGGTTGCTTGATGACTCTCCTCTTTCTTCAGCCCATTCGAAAAAATTATATTCTTTATTTGGGAATTTTGCACACCCCCAATAACACCTACCCTTATTTTTACCATTCTTGCACACTTTCATCGGTGTTCGGAGATGGCAGTCGCAATAAACTTCATAATTCTGCCAGCACTCTTCTGATATCATTTTCATGTCGGGGCAACAAATTGATGACAATGGGAATTTTATAAATGCTGAAAATGAGAATGCTTGGATTAATTGTGAGGCCTCAAGGTGAATTTATAGCCACCATGACGCCTCTCTACTAGCCGTTGCTACAGTGTTTTGCCTAAGATTTTTGAAATCTGAATTTTGAATCTGAAAATAGCCGTTGCTACAGTGATTTCATCAAGAAATCTGAATTTTGGTGGCTTCAATCCGTTGCTACAGTGAGTTTTTAAATGTAAAGGGGGCTATCCGTTGCTACAGTATCGATTCTCAAAAAAAGGGTCTTTTTGAAGCAAACATGGTATTAGGAATTGGATCATTTCTATAAAAGTGAGATTCTTAATCCTTTGGGTGAAACAAACATTGAATGACAAAAAAATGGGATTCCATAAAACTAAAACTTGTCTATAAATTTTTTATGAATTAGGTTGGAATCCATAAATTAAATAGGATTCCTAATCCTATTCCTAGCCCTTGGTGAAACAAACAGCCCCTAATATACAACAAACTTACTGGGTGCAGAAGGATTGAAAGATACTTTTATCATTTTCAGCTATAGTTGAGAGGACAAAATGGTAACTGCATAATGGAGACTTTTTTCCTTTTCCTTCTAGAACATTTCATTGCACGTGTATATGGAATTATTAGGACAAACATTCATCATATTTTAGATTTTAGGAACAGAAGTTTGCTTTAGAAAATAATAAACATCTACCTTTACTATTCTATAAATAGAATAATAAAGATATTGAAAATTGCAAGAAAAATATGGACATTTCAGTACTTTTCTTTTCAAAACAACGACTATCATCACACACACATTCTCTCTTCATATTTTAGAATTAATGAAAATAGAAAATTGTTCATACAAATCCTCACAAATTATTCTCCTTAATCAAGTGAACAGATAATTTAAGCATGATATATGTCCCATTTCTAGTTATTTTTCTAGTTATCAAATAACTAAACGTATTGAAACCATAATATATACCAAAGGAGTGAAAATATAAGATCCCTACATCAGCTCCACTTTTCTCGTTTCAGAAATAAATTATTTATCAAAGAAACAATTTATTTCACTAGTATGTTCCCGTAGATGTACTTTTGTTTTAGAAAAATATTTAGCACTTTTAGCTCCATTTTCAGCAAACCTCCAAGTGTAGGACTTTTATAATAGAAGTTAAATAATTAATAATTCTATACTCCAAGAATTCTCTATTGTTTGGGGAAAAAAAGGGTAGAAATACCGTAGTAATGCTCTCGAATGTGTCTTCCATCACACAACACAATCGCTGAGAAATATATATGAGGAAAATCATGTAAGATCCCTCCATTGGACATCTATACTACTATATATTGTATATAATCGATACTAATATATAAAGACCTTAGTAAGAGGAATGAAAAGTTAGATGAATTCGAGGACATTGTCCTCCTTTCTATTGTAACTAGTTTGTGGTTCGTGCAAAGCACGGTATTTTTTTTTGCTACAGTAATCCTGTTTTTTTTAATATGCATGATTTAAATTTTTGGAAGTGCTACAGTATCCCTCTCTGCTACAGTACCTTTTAAATATTACAGTATACCCGTGTGCTACAGTAACATTTTAATTAACTATTAGCTACAGTAATAATACTATAACAAATGCTACTGTAGCATTTACTGTAGCATGAACAATGAATATCTGATACTCCTATTTGTATAAAGGAATAGATTATGAGGGTAAAATTATAGTTTTGCAAAGATATTTTCTTTTTCCTTTCTTTGGTCTCCATTTCTTATTTCCGGAACATTCTAAAGTCATGACATGAAGATATGATTTAACCTCACAAAACTAAAATTGTAATTTTAAAAGAGATATTTTTTTTCTCTATTTTCTTTTCTTATTATAGAATATGAACATTCTAAATCAT